ATATTTTTCATTATCTTTAACAATTCTGAATATGTAGTTTGAAAAAACTGGATAAGTTTGAAATAATGTATTTCCAAAAAAAAAAAAAAATTGAGTTTGAGTGGACTCGAACCTACGAAAAGAAGTTTCCAACGGTTTAGCAGTCAGACGCTTTACCACTGGACCACCGATACCGTTGAAAATACATTTAATCTTTTGAAATATAACGGACGTAACGTACTTTTATCAATTATGTTTATTTAGTTTAATTCCTATTCTATTCCACTGCATGTAAAAACATTGAACAGTGTATATACCATGTATGTGATAAATAACAGACGAAAATTCGTCGAATAAGTAACTCTAACACGCAAAAATCAGCGAAAAAATCGGTTTTTAATTTTTTTAACTATGGCGCACCTCTCCAAAAAATCTGAAAAAAATTGAGGATGATAGCATCAATAATATACACTTATAAAATAAATATGATCGTAGGACCTCAGGTCCTTCAATACAAAATCGCCATTTTTCAGCATTTTTTGAAGTTTTTGATTTTTCACGGCTTCAGTTTTCAATCTACAAATCTGAAAAAATTCTGTAATATGTGCCTCACAAATGGAAATGTCTCTGATTTTTTTCAGAATTTTCGAATGTCATTAAATAGGAGAAATTGGCCAAAAACCTCGCAATTACATTTTTACCCGTAACTACCCTCCCAGATAACATACAGGGTTGAAACTTGGCACAGACTGGTTTTTTTTTATCACCTATCAAATGGTTCATAGCAAGTCGAATTTGGTTTGGGGGCACTTTTGACCATCTTATCCGGCTATACCCTTTTTGTAAGTATTCATTATAGATCATCAAATAATAGTTTTGGAAAACAACATTATGCATATTAGTAGTTCTATTTTGATTATTCAATTGCGTCGAAAGTGTTCTTTAACTTATGTATAAATAGTGCAATGTTTACAACAATTTAAACTTTGCGGAGGGTTTTTAAAATATGCTTAAAAGTGCTAGCTACCAGGTTTGGTTTATAAGAAAGCTTAAACATTTCTTTAAAGAATTATATAAATTTTAGGTTCAACCTTCCTCAACTTTTAAATCTATACGAATTTCAATAAATGAACGCTCTAGAACGGTAATACAATACGGGCGTTTGATACAGGTGGATACTCGGCTTAAGGTTGCGGCCACCGCGGTAACATACGTATCGCTCGGGCCGAAGTGACTTCTGTCTAGAGTAATACGAAACGTTTTCTCTGCGAGACTTTTATCTCTTGTTAGTATTAATTCTTATAAACACGAGATAATAATCATTTGGAGACGTATTTCAGCTTCATCGTCTTAGTCTTTTAGTCAACGTGCCAGGCGAAAAATCAGTAGAAAAAAGTGTAAATTCAGTATAATTTTATTATAGTTATGTACTATTAAACGTATTCTTTAGTTTTTTGTTTATATATCAAAGTGTAATATAGTGTAGCGTGTAGTTACCATTTAATATAATTATTCTTAAGATTCTATGCAATTAAATTGGTTAGAACATAATTTTAATTTGTTATAAGTATTTGATCTAATTTATCACAAAATACAACTAGCGAAGAGGATTCAGATCAAGAATAGGACGAATCAGTTTTACGTATATTTAGATATTTAGATAATACTGAATTAGAATAAAAAAATTTTAAAAATTATATTTTTGCACTTGTTTAGTTGTATTTTAGTTCTGTTAATTATATTTAGTATATTTATATTTATTATATTTGGTCAAAAGTCGATTTAGAGACGTTTTTAATTTTGGCCACGAAAACCGGGTTCCTGGACCACTGTGCGGCGGGCGGAAATTTCTTTTACCTGACCTATCCTAACCTAACCTACATATAAATGGTAACTAACGGTAATTTACGACAAGAAAAGGGAAAAGGTACAAAAAGTTGAAAAAAGAAAAAAAAATGGATTTTACATGGGTCACCCTATAGAAACGGAAGCCGATATCGCTATGGCTATGGTGTGAAGGGCTGTTCGGCACTTGACGATGACGGTTGCTACAGCGAAGACGGTAGTGTTAGTTGCGTCAGTATAGGACAAATTCTATGTATTGTACGAAAGTTTTTAATTAATATCTCGGAAACTAATAGGAAGCCGAAGATACCACTTTATATTTGGAGTCCTCATCCCCCTCCTCCCTCCCCTTCAAAATTTCATCTTGATCGCTGACCGGTCGTATTCGGAACTACAGCCAATGAATGTCGCAATCTTTCGTTCGATTTCAAATATCTATCGATACACACGCACGTACCGTTGAGCGGACGTTCCTGCATTCCATTTGTAATTCTGTTCTAATTGGTCGAATTTAAGAAACTTTAAGAAGGAATATCTCTCCTATTGTGATTCTGAAAACACGCATATATCTTAGTTTTTTGCAGAGAATGCAGTCGTTCTCTCCGCTTCCGCGAATTACTGAATATAGGAACTTTGGATTCCTCCCACTCAATGAAAATTATAATTTATAAGTTTATGATCACCGGATATACTTTCTGACCAGCGTGGCTCACGACGACATATGAGTACACATATATGTATGTATGAGTGCAGTGTCTTGTGAAATTAGCTGTAAGCCTATAATTGCAGGAATTGAATAAAATGTAATATAGCAACCAGCAACAGTGCTATAAAAGTATGGCTACAGCATGTCTGCGTTGCGTTATATCAATACTCATAAATTAGGAGCTAAAATTCAAACGATTGAGCGAGCGACCATATACAATGAACAAAGAATGGATTGTAGAATTTTCAACGCGGGTGATCGGGCTGGGAGAGAGTTGGAAATCCAGAGAAATAAAACTGTCTCACTTGAAATTTCTAAGAGGCTAATTTCAAGCGATTCCAAGCTTCAAACCGCTTACATATTCTTTACCATATCATTTGTAAATAAAGAAGTCGGAACTTTAATCGAAATCGCTAAGGTGTTGATTTATATTGCGTGCCGCGAGCAGAATACTTCAGCGCTCCACGGACACTTTACCTCTGTTACGAACCTCGCCTGTATGTATGTGTGCAATATTGTTTAGCTGCAAGCTTGTAATCACAAGCGTTGAATGAAATGTAATATGGCGACGATGCCATAAGAGTATGACTGCAACATGTCTGCATTATATTATATCAATGCTCATAAATTAGGAGCCAAAATTCAAAGGAATAAACAAATAATAGATAAGACATTGTAAAACTTTCAACACGGGTGATCGTGCTGGGAGAGAGTTGGAAATCCGGAGAAATAAGACTGTCACACTTGAAATTTCTAAGAAACTAATTTATTGCGGGTCGTATCTAAAACGTTACTCTTAACGAAAATCATGTTGGTTCTTGAAACTGTCGAAGTCTCTTCGACATCCTGCTTATTTACAGAGGGTCGTAAATTCTCTTAAGGGTTGCCTTGGCTGGCTAGCGCGAAAACTTTTTATCTTCCGTTCTCTCTGGATCCCACGCTTTCTCTTAGCACGTGTGCATGGAATCGTTCTCGAGTCTTGGCGGAGCACCACCATCTTCCACTTGCCCAAGGGTGGACCGAAGCCAGGGAGAGGGACCGCCTCCGGACAGGATTCAGGAGGGAGGATTCAGGATCCAGCGAGGAGGGGATGGCAGCCAACATCAATCGAAGATCTTCACCGCCAAGCTCAGATCGATTCCAAGCTTCAAACCGCCTGCATACATTTTTGTCAAAAGATATAGTCAGAAAATAAAGTCTTATAATTTTTATTTTCTACGCAAAGGTGTTCTGTTTTATTAAAAGCCGCGCCGCGAGCAGAGCGCTTCAGCGCTCCACGGGCACCTTACCCACGTTCGGCATATCCTAAATATCCCTAGAACACTAAATCCACACGCAACACCAGTTAATTACTGTTTTTACTTTCGACCAATCAGAAGAGAGCATGAAAAATCACGAATTACTGTGAAAAATGATCGTAATTAGGAACGAACGTGATCGAATCACTCGTGATTCACAAGTAGCAGTTCTAGCCATCACTACACGCAACAGTATGTAGAGAGATATCAGCGTTACAAGTAGCATGCGCACAAACTGAAATCTGTATCAAATTCATAAGAGTAAAGTTGAGAAAGTCTGCTTTTCGCTCTACTCCCAAAATTGAGTGTTGCGTGTGGATTTAGATATTTAGGGATATTTAGGATGTAGAAGAACGTGGGTAAGGTACCCGTGGGGCGCTAAAGCACCCTGTTCGCAAGGCGCGAAATGAGTTACACAAACTGCTGTTTACTGTTGTTTAAATATTGTTAAGTCCAACTCTTTATTAAATAGTCTTGTAACTATGTTTCCAAAATGTGTTTTAATTGCAACGTGAAAACAACTTGTCAGAATCAAGCGACAAAATCATTCTGATCGTTCTGCGCTTGGCGGAGATCTTCGCGCGATGTCGGTCGATACCCCCTCCTTGGTGGATCCTGGATCCTCCCTCAGGATCATTCCTTCAGGAGTAGGCCCCTTCTCCTGGCCCTGCTCCACCCTCAGGCGCGTGGAAGTGGAGGCGCTCCGCCAAGACGCTAGAACGTTGCAGCGCACATGTGCTACGAAAAAGCGTGGGACCCAGAGAAATTAGGAAACGACAAGACCTTGTACTTGCCAAAGCAACTCTCGAGGAAATTCACGACCCTCCTAGAGTGCATGAAAAGACAGGATATCGAAAAAGACTTCGTAGCTTTTAAGGACCGTTCGTGACTTGGTCGAAAACAACGAATTTGATATGGTCTATCATAAATTAGTCTTTCAAGAATTTTCGAAGCGAAACTATTCCATTCTCTGGATTTTCGGCCTTCTCTCAGCTCGATCACCCACGTCGAGGGGTTTACAATCTAATTTATGTCTATTTATATAGGCGTACGCGCAGATGGTGTTTAAATTTCGTTCTTGATTTACAACCATCGATACAAAAAGTCCTCGACTGATATTCGAGACATATCGATACTCTGTAGTATCGATAAATATTCCCACGATGATGTCACCATACCACTCTAAACATATTCACGTGATAACATTTCACGTTACAAGCACTTACAAGTGAATTTGGGTCTGTTCCTCTATGAAGCGATTTTTTTATGTAATCGTGGAGAGGCTATTTGTTTTCAATAAAAAATAATTTTTTTTGAGGATATTCTTAAACATAATTTAATTCACAAAAATGGTAAGTATATATATATATATATATGGTAAATAATACTATCAGTAACTGCTCGTTTCTACCCACGTGTTATTCTATAGGTTAGGTTTTACATGTATATGTTTAATTACATGTAATGATTAATATTGTTTAGTAAATTATATTTAATCGTGAATTACCAACTAAATATTAAATATTAAAATATTTTTTTAAAAAGTAGTAACATTGTTTATGTTTATTATGTAGGGTGATGAAGTTAATCCAAAAGCATATCCCTTAGCAGATGCTACTTTAACTGCAAAAATTTTGAATCTAGTACAGCAAGCAATGAATTACAAGCAACTAAGGAAGGGAGCTAACGAAGCGACAAAAACATTGAATCGTGGTTTATCAGAATTTATTGTAATGGCTGCAGACGCACAGCCTTTAGAAATTTTGTTACATTTACCACTGTTGTGCGAAGATAAAAATGTTCCATATGTGTTTGTAAGAAGCAAACAAGCTTTAGGTCGTGCTTGTGGTGTATCCAGATCTGTTGTTGCTTGTTCTGTTACAGTCAACGAAGGATCACAATTAAAACCACAAATTCAAGCTATACAACAAGAAATTGAACGTCTTTTAGTCTAAGTATTTTGTACCTGATTTAAAATCTTATTTTTAAATTTGTATTCCATTCATTCATTTATATTTTTGACATAAAATTTTTCAGAAATTGAATGTTATGTTCTTTTTTTATACAAAATATGTATGTCTTAATTGCACTAATAAAAAATTAAATAAAATTTAAAAATATTGTTTTATTTATATTAAATATTTAAAGATTTCTGCAGTAATTACTAAATTCTTACAGTTTATAATTATTGTTTTTCGTGAGATGTGGTGAAACAAGTTATTTTTTAAAATACCACTTAAAGTTAAAAGATAAAAACAACATATTTTTATTATTGCTGGAATACACAATAAACAAGACTAAATATTTTGTACTTATTTAAATAAATAATTTAAATTTACACAATTTACATACATAAACTATAAGATTCTAAACAGTCATATTATATACAAGAAAAAAAATATTTTGACTTTCTAAATACTGTTGCGTACATAAATATATTAAACTTATAAATTCATTGCAAATTAAGAAAAAATTATGAAAGATATAAATAGCGTTCATGAGGTAGAATAAAATAACTTAACAAATTGTATGCAGTTGACAATTGACTATAGAGAAGGCCGTAATAATGAGTTGTGTCTATTTTTTGATTTTTAATTTGTCTTATTTGATCTACTATTACTGTTTTAAGATTTTTGGTATAAGTCTATTCAATTAATTCTGCAATAATATATATCTTATTGAGTTCTTCTAAAGACTTCTCAAGATGTTTTTCAATAAGACATACACTGCCAGAGAAAAGTTTTTGAGGACTACTTAGTTTTTTAAATAATTCTCTTGATACACGGGATTATTGTAAAACTGTTGTTATACAACATGTTATTTACTAATGTATATTGTTCTAGATTTTATAATTTTGTATGATACTTTAAACCAATTGAATCTGAATTGATGTTATAAATATTGAAGAATTGTTACAAATATTGAACTGGTCGAAAACTTTTCACTGACAGTGTATATTAATGCTAGAATGTGCACTGTATATTATTTTATATCTACTTAATAAATTTTGAACTTGAAACCACCTAGACAATTTCTTGTCAATAAACACTACCCAGTTTAAATCATTAAATGGTAACTCATTATCGTCTTGAAAAACTTATAATTTCATGTCGTCGCTAATCATGTTTTGTGCATTAAGTACCAAAAGGTCAGAATTATTACTACACACAAGTATATAAAAATAAATTTTTGAATTTATTATGTTGATACACCAACAGTTTGAAATTACAAGCTTTTCTCCATATTTACTTATTAAATTCGAAAAATTACTAATTAAGTCTGAATTAATAAATTCTTTAACAAAATTTTCATGATCTTATATTACTCTCTGCTGATACTCTGCGAGATCTTTTCTCTGCAGTAGCATACGTTTTGTAAGGTAAGAGAGTGAATTGAGAAAAACGGAAAATACTGCATTTGATATAAAATATAAGCTATGGACATCAATAAAACATTCTTCCAACTGAGAATACAGTAATTATTTATTATTATTAACTAATAAATATAATATGAAATTTGTAAGAAAAAACTTTATATGTAAAACAAAATTTCCAAAAGCTTGTATAATAAATATGATTTTGTAATTGTAAAAGTGTACATATGATACTATTATAATATTATTAATACTTACTTCAAATACATATTGGAATACATTGGAAAGACTGTACATCCTATTAAATAAATGTGCTATTTACAAAAATAAAGATCTGCGAAGTTAATATGAATAAATGAAATTTATTTGTATTATTGTACTTATCCGTTTTTTATATCTTTTAGAGGGCTTGAGATTATAAATACATTTATGAACAATTGAAAAATAGGTGGAATCCGAAAGGCCGGTAGAAGAAAGCTAATACAGTCGGCTGGGTTAAGTATATTAAAGCCACTGGGATGACACTAAGAGAAGATCTTAGTCTGCACCTGCACCCTTTCTGGGATGGACACCAATATACAGTGTGATTCTCTCGCTACGCAAGACAAAAGCAGTGCCGCACAATCGAACCCTACTGTTTTTGCGGGTAAAGAGACCCAGAGGCCATATCGCCGAACCCAAAACTGCTCTGTGTATTGTGTGTATGTTTATGGCTGACAATGACCAAGTTTCCATCGAGAGCAGGATCGGATTTAATGTACTGTTTCCACTGGAAGTAGAGTAGAATTGAGGGAGATTGATATTTCAGTAGAGCCAACTTAACTTTTGTTTGCTATGTTGCGAGTCCGTCGCGGAAAATAGGGATATTCGGGGATTTAGGTGCAGGTGTGACAGTCCGTGGAGCGCAGAGGCGCTCCGCTCTCAAGGCGCGGATATACAAAATAATAAACTGTTATTTTGTTTAGAGTACTTTAATACCTTGTATTTCAATTTAAATCGGAACTTTAAACTTTGCGTTATCAAAGGCTTAGACCCTTCTGAGTGAGAACGACTTGTTCGTAACGAGTGACAAAATCATTCTAACAATTCTGCGCTTGGCGGAGGAGATCTTCGCGCGTTGTCGGTCGATGCCCCTTCCTTGGTGGATCCTGGATCCTCCCTCAGGATCATCCCTCGTCCAATGGTGGAGGAGTCCACCCCGTCTCGTGTGGGCCCCTTCTCCTGGCTGTGGTCCACCCTCAAGCGCGTGGAAGTGGAGGCGCTCCGCCAAGACGCTAGAATGTTGCAGCGCACATGTGCTACGAGAAAGCGTGGGACCCAGAGAAATTAGGAAACGACAAGACCTTGTACTTGCCAAAGCAACTCTCGAGGAAATTTACGACCCTCTCAGAGTGCATGAATAGACAGGATATCGAAACAGACTTCGTAGTTTTTAAGGACCGTTTGTGACTTGGTCGAAAACAACGAATTGGCTATGGTCTATCATAAATTGGTCTTTTGGGAACTTTCGAAGTGAAACTATTCCATTCTCTGGATTTCCGGCCTTCTCTCAGCTCGATCATCCACGTCGAGGGGCTTACAATTTACTCTTTGTCTATTTATATAAACGTACGCACAGACGATGTTCGAATTTCGCTCTTAATTTATGACCATCGATACAAAGGTCCTCGAAGAACATTCAAGACATATCGATACAATAGACTATCGATAAATATTCCCATGGCAGTGTCGCCACACCACTCTAAACATATTCACGTGATAACATTTCACGTTACAGTATGTAACTAATTCTAAAAATATGAATATTGAAATAAATATCAAATCAAATTTTTCCGTGTAAACAAATCGAGAATCGATGAATTGATTGTCAGGATAAAGAATCGATTCTCAAAAAAATGGAGCAGCAGAGAATCAATTCAAAAGAATCGATTTTCTAATGAATTGAATTCACTAAAAATTCAAAAAAAAAATTCTATAAGTGGAACATGACGTCACAAAATCTTAACCAGTGTGCAAAATTTACAAGATATGTACGTAAAAAGCGACATCAGCGCCTCCTGGAATTCGAGCGCAGACTTAAAAATTTGCATTTGTAACGCTATCGCTTGAATTTAGATGAATGTAGCATGGCGACAACATAGACATATGAAAATATAAACCGAGCCTTTGTATGTACATATGTACAATATCAATCATAGTGTCACAGCCAACTCTAGTACTAGCCATGCTGAACAACGTGGCAACACCGTTCACGTGACAATCGGGAGTCCTATTTTCAAAAACAGAGTCCTGTGCTCGGAATTGTAATTAACGTCTTTTTTAATTAAAAGCTGTAGTAATATACACTATTTTGTGTTAATTATGTATAAACAATATATAAACGTTGCAACTATGGCAAATAGAAGTGATGTGGTAGTATAAAATTGTTATAAATGTGATATATATTTTGTGTACTCTCAAAGTAGTTTGGTGTTGTGAAGCATGATACATATTTGAAATATTTACAGTGGTTTCAAGAAAATTTAGGTGTGAAGCAAAATGAAACCATCTTTGGATCAAATTGAAACATTTAAGAATTGATAAACGTGTATATAAGTTAATAAAAACCTTGAAACAAGCGAAATTATTGGAACGAAACCAAAGAGGTTATGTGAAGTCCAGAGAGTAGTCGGGAGTCTGATGACGGGAGTTGATTGGCTGAGAGTCCGGGAGTCCGGGAGGCAGATTGAGTAGGGTAGGTGTTGATATATTCAGACCGGACTCCCGCGGTGTTGCCATTTTTACTTCAGCACGGCTAGTACTAGAGTCGGCTGTGATAGTGTCCGTTCGTCTAGTGTATTTTGTAATTTCAAATAAATGATTGAAATTCTAATTTATTGAATATTTTAAAGCTTTTATCAGATGATTATGTTAATTAATTTAACGCTTTTATTAAATAATTAGATTTACGATATTTGCTGCGATTAAACTTGGACTCTAAAGTCAGTGCTTTTTCACTAGACGAACGGACACTATCACAGCCGACTCTAGTACTAGCCGTGCTGAAGTAAAAATGGCAACACCGCGAGAGTCCGGTCTGAATATATCAACACCTACCCTACTCTATCTGCCTCCCGGACTCCCAGACTTCCAGCCAATCAACGTCGTCAGACTCCCGACACTCTCTGGACTTCACATAACCCCTTTGGTTTTGATCCAATCATTTCGCTTGTTTCAAGGTTTTTATTAACTTATATACACGTTTATCAATTCTTAAATGTTTCAATTTGATCCAAAGATGGTTTCATTTTGCTTCATACCTAAATTTTCTTGAAACCACTGTAAATATTTCAAATATCATGCTTCACAACACCAAACTACTGTGAGAGTACACAAAATATATATCACATTTATAACAATTTTATACTACCACATCACTTCTATTTGCCATAGTTGCAACGTTTATGTATTGTTTATACATACACAAAATATATATCACATTTATAACAATTTTATACTACCACATCACTTCTATTTGCCATAGTTGCAACGTTTATGTATTGTTTATACATAATTAACACAAAATAGTGTATATTACTACAGCTTTTAATTAAAAAGGACGTTAATTACAATTCCGAGCACAGGACTCTGTTTTTGAAAATAGGACTCCCGATTGTCACGTGAGCGGTGTTGCCACGTTGTTCAGCATGGCTAGTACTAGAGTCGGCTGTGACACTATGATTGATATTGTACGAGGGGTAACTGATAATCGCGGTAAGGGGGAACTCATCTGACTTCGATTATTTTCGTAAGCGCAGACTCGGGTATGCTCGGCTTTTCGCAGTTGCATATTACAATCAGTGATTTTCAATTTGTTTTTTCTAAAAATTGAAATTAATATTAACCATTCTGAAACACTATTTGGGTTATTTAATATATTCTTGTATGTGCAACATTGCAAGGAAATTTAGAACTACTCAAAGAATCTTGCATTCTAAATATTAAATTTGTAAAAGATTATTTATTTAAATTATTATATAGTAAATTTTATATTTAACATTTTATTTGATATTATTTGTAATATACCGTTGTTACATAAATATTTGGTGTTAAGAGTAAAACAATATATATGTTTTTTTTTATTGACCTTTAAATAATATTAATTTATTCAATTTGTGTCGATCGCTTATTTCTGAACTTTGTATATAGTGTGTTAATCTTATTTTCGCATACAATTGTATAATAGCACGCAATAAATGATTACAGTGATTATCAAAAAAATCTTGATCATTTATGTGCTCTCTTAATTCTAAAAATATATTTTTATCTACAAGGTAAATCATGATTTCATGTATAAACTTATTCATATTAAATTGGTCAAGTGTTTTATGAATATGTATATAAATGGTTAATGCATTTTCAAATTGTTTACAAACATATACAAGCGTTTCTGATGGATATAGTAATGACCCCCTGTTTTTAATATTTATTAAATTGCAATTAACATTTATATTTTGTTTAATTAATGCTTCAATGCATTCAGAACAATGCCAAATTTTCCTGAGTTTTCTTAATATATAACCAGCTATGTAAGTGATAATTTCATTTTTATATTCTGTAACAAATTGATATTGAATATGTAAATTGTAATCGTGATCAGTTGGTGTTGTATTAAAAACATTATAAGCCAATTTTGATGGAAATTTGGACTTATACTTGCATTTATAATAGTAAGAGGATCGCGTGAAGATGGTGTATGCAATATCGGAATAGATTCTAAAGGTATACAGTTACCAGTTTCTGTGTCTTTTATTTCTACATGTACTATCAATTTTCTGAAATTGGATTTAAACTGTTTAACAGTGGGATTATTATTATATCCTCCATGTATGCATATATTCCTAAATAATAATTCTAAATGGTCTTGGTTAATTTTGTATGTTGGAATATATTTTAATAGATTATTTTCAACGCAATGAAGTTTATATATATTTTGTAGACTTTTAATATTTATTAGAAATCCAAGGAAATCTGTTTTTGCTTTTGAATTAAGTACTTTTTTTGATTCTTTACCAAGTGTTAGTTTTTTAATGTAATCTTCACATTCCTCGAGTTTTTTATTTACTTCAGAATAATTAAAAATACCTATTGGTTTTTTAAAGCCATGTTGTCTTACATTTTTCGAATTAAAAATATCAAATAAATCATTAAAGATTGAGGTAAATTTTATAGTTGCTGAACAATCTTGAAAGTGTGGTAGCTGTAACGAATTTTTGCATAATTCTAATGCGTTTGCAACTGATGTGCTTAATAATTGACTGGCTAATTTGACCTTCATTTTGTTCTTATAAAAATCTATATACTTACTTCTAAGTTTGTTACCAAGGTGTAATTCTTCTTTTTCTTACAGTTCATGTAACTGTTCAAAATGCTTCCATTTAATTTTTTCATTATTATTGTCCAAAAGTTCTTTTGCAGAGCCAAGACTATTTCGTACCAACTTCAACATGTGGCATGGATCAAGATATACATTAACTTTGGTAAATGTTCGGAAGTGTCACTCTTGTCAGAATCGAGCTGATTTTTTTTTGTGTGGTTTCTTACAGTTAAAAAACATCATATTTAATATTATTATGGCAGCGCATCAACAAAAACAATGTCAATAAATATTTTTTTTTTATCCCCCACGAGTTGAACAGTAACATATTTAATTCATTTTGCTGACTGGGGGCTAGCCCCCCCCCCCCCCCCCCCCCCCCCCCCCCAATACTACACTAACTAATACCGATACCCATTTTTAATATAAGGAAATAATAAACACAATTTACAAAGTAACATATTTATCGGTATTAGTTAGTGTAGCTATTAGGGGGGGTCCGCGGGGCGCAGCCCCCCAGTCAACAAAACGAATTTAATATGTTACTGTTCAACTCGTGGGGGATGTTTTGTTTTTTGTTTACATCTGGAATTGTCGTGATTACCACATGGCTGGTTATATTGCCGATTTTCTATTTCGTCGAGTTTTCACCGCGCACAGTGAACGCGTACATGCCATCTTCGATGCTATTCAGCAATTTTATAATGAAGAATTGTCAAAATAGTTTGTATGTCTATTGTATTTCGAAAGAACAGAATATTTCTTTTAGAAATCTTGAAAAAAAGTTCGAAAGATCGACGAATAAAAATCTTTAAAAAAATATTTATTGACATGGTTTTTGTTGATGCGCTGCCATAATAATATTAAATATGATGTTTTTTAACTGTAAGAAACCACACAAAAAAAAATCAGCTCGATTTTGACAGGAGTGACACTTCCGAACATTTACCTTAACTTTACTGTTATTTGCTGGATGTGTGAACCATGTCTGAAAATTATCAGGGTCATCAAATTTGCAACCTAAACTTTGTAATACTCTTAAATTAGTCGATAAACCAACACACATTCCACATTAACGCCACAATCTACGTAACCGACGAATCTACTTTACAATAATCAACATGTTGCCGTATCGCCACTTCGTCAAATATTAACGCACCTATCAATCTATATGAAATAGAATGTGTGCGTCGTTTAATAGATTCTATAGCCTCGGTATTAATACAAGGTTCTCCGTTAAATGAATAATACCATTTTGCTAACGTTTTTGGATGCGGCAACATATTATAAAATTTATGCCGTACATAATTATAAGCCTTTGGCGAATAATAATGTAACGACAATGAAAATTTGCGTACATTTGGTGTATATGTTCTAGTTACAGGCAGATTTTTTTGCTTCATTACATTACGTTTTACCAATTCTCGCGTACCTGCACCTAAATATTGAAGTATGTCACTCTCTTCTGTTGTTAATAGATTCTTTTTCTGTAGATCTTTTAACACATTCTTTAGAGAAACCAGCCTTTTCTGCATTCTCTTTTGCTCATAACAACTTACAGATAGCTTCCTTTTCACAGCAGTAATTTCATTTCTGTATAATTTTCGAATTCTAGACTTAGCTGGTGAATTGATAATCCTATCAGGTGATATACTGGTGGAACGATGTATTATTCGATGATTATTATATGAGCATGTATCATCTTCTTTCGTCACATCCATTTCTTGTATGTTTACATCTTTTTTCATCACATCCATTTCTTGTATGTGTACTTCATTTTTTTCAGCTCCATTATTTATATTTTCTTCAACAAAGGTTGTGTTTTGGTGATCTATCAGAACATCTAAACGTATTTCTGCTTCAAGTGAATATGGGATGGCATCTTTTTTTAATTTATGTTATGGATGATTCAATTCACAATCTGCTTCTTTAAAATGAGCAGAACAAACTGCTGCTGTTTTCGTGGGAATATATTTTTCCAATTGTATGGCTTTAAGCCATTTACTATGCCTCAAGATTCAAGATACATTTAGGAAATCTAAAACAATATATTAAATATATGTATATATAATATTTGCATTATGACTAATTATTATAAATTTTGAATCCAGGTAACCTAAAAATTGAATTTATATAACCTATAAGAAAAATATTTTACTTACAAGTAAAATGAAATTTTCTGATTTGAACTACTTTTTAGTTCAATCTATTCTATATTTTTTTTATTGTGGCGATTTTTGCATCCGTGCACTACACAAAAACTCATTTTTTTAAATAAAATTTATTAAACCAACCGTAATACATGGGATCATGGGAACATGAGACCAATCAGAACCAGGCCCTCCAAGCATGTGAACATGTGATACCGCGTATGTAACCGGTACCTACATGCATACATGTGAAATGTGAGCCGAATACTACCACTGATATATATCAGTGAATACTGCATACTACTGAGTCTTGCCGGAATAAATCGATGTCAGACGAGTAACCTTCTCGCCCCGAATATCAGATCCCCCCTTACCGAAAGTAGTAGTTTATGCTCGGTCTATATTTTCATATGTCTATGGGCGACAATGACACGTGAATATGGCTACAGCATGTCTGCGTTCCGTTGTTGATGTCCATAAATTAGGAGGGAAATACAAACAATAAGGCGAGTGGTAGACAGCATACATTGTAAAATTTTCAACGCGGGCGATCGGGCTGGGAGAGAGTTGAAAATCCAGAGAATAAAAACTGCTTCACTTGAGATTTCTAAGAGGCTAATTTATTACGTGCCGTATCTAATTTGTTACTCTTAATAAAAATCATGTTTGGTTCTCGAAGTCGTCGAAGTCTCTTCGACATCCTGTTTATTCATAGGGGGTCGTAAATTCTTTCAAAAGTTGCCTCGGTTCGCTAGCGTGAGATCTCTTCATTCTCCGTCTTTCTCTTAACACGTATGCACAGAATTGTTCTCGTGTCTTGGCGGAGCACCACCGCTTCCACTCGCTTGAGGGTGGACCGAAACCAGGGGGAAGGACCTCCTCTGGACAGAGATGGGTTCCTCCACCATTGGACCGGGGATGATTCTGAGGGAGAATCCAGGATCCATTGAAGAGGGGATTCCAGCCGACATGTAACGAAGATCTTCACCACCAAGTTTAGATCGATTTCAAGCCTCAAACCGTTTAAATACACTTTTCAAAGTTATTTTTTGAATAAAGCAGTTATAACTTTTACCAAAAACGCTAAGGTGTTTATTTTGCGCGCCGCGAGCAGAGTGCTTCAGTGCTCCACGGGCACCTTACTCACGGCTCAGAAATCCCTGAATTTCCCTACACCGCAAGGAGGAAACGCAACACATTAAATTAACAAGAGTAAAGTTTGAAGAGCCTGAGCAATTATATACGTATTTTACCATGTTGAGAATTTATTTAGTTTGTGCACTTTTGTTAATCTTGTACATAATTAGAAAATTATGTATAAAAATATTGAGAAAACGTAAAAATGTTTGCGTTCTTGTTCTTGGAGACTTAGGTAGAAGTCCTAGAATGCAATATCATGTAACATCATTTGTAAAAGAAGGTTTTACGGTAGATTTTATAGGTTATCCTGGTGCACTACCACTAAAAGAAATTAGAGAAAATCCTCAAATACGCATTTACTATCTTTCATCACCTCCCAGCCTAGAAAACAGTATGTCTTTAGTTTTGTTGTAAATTTATAAATCTACATTTATTTAAAATAAATTTTTTTGTTAAATATATTTCATTTAATAATTGCACTCTGTAAGAAAATCATTGTAGTACTAGTTATTTGAAAACAGATTCAAAGAAATAATTTTTAATATTTCAGAATTGTCACTCTTTTTGTGCTATGTTATAAAAACATTATGGCAAAGTTTTAATCTGTTATGGATTTTATTTTACAAACATATACCAACTCATATGCTGCTGCAAAATCCACCTGCAATACCAACAATCCCAATTTGTTGGTTGTACTGTATCATTGTGGATTCACATTTCACTATTGATTGGCATAATTATGCATTTACTCTTATGGGACTTAGTTTAACAAATGATCATTTGCTTGTAAAGTTTGCAAAAACTATTGAAATGTATTGTGGTTCGAAAGCACATGACAATTTCTGTGTTTCTCAGGCAATGAGAAAAGATTTACAACTAAATTGGAAAATCAAGTACATATATCTAAATTTAATTTTTTGATTTTACTTATGTTAATCAGTATTTAATTTTTTTAGAGCGGAAGTATTATATGATCGTCCAACAAATGAATTTCATCCGATATCGTTAAAAGAAAAACATATGTTTTTAATGAAACTAAGCAAAAAATATAATGTATTTAAAGGTCAAAAGGAAAATACAACTATATTTACAGAATGTACAAAAAATGAAATACAGTTATCTTCTAAAAGATCTGGTTTTATCGTGTCAAGCACAAGTTGGACTGAAGATGAAGATTTTTCAATATTATTAAATGCGTTGGAAGGTAATTTGTTATATAATAACATATTTGTTATTATAATTTAAATATTTTTATTTTACAGAATATGAAAACATGATTGTGCAAGGTATTTGTAATCTACCTGATTTAATTTGTGCAATAACTGGTAAAGGTCCATTAAAAGAATTTTATAAAAGTATAATAGAATTGAAAAATTGGAAACACGTTACAGTTATAACGCCATGGTTGGAAAATGAAGATTATCCTAAAATGCTGGGTACTAAACAATGATATGATGCTTGTATTGATTTTTTATGTATTTTCGTATATAAGAAAGAAAACTTTTATGTACAGCTAGTGCAGATTTAGGTATTTGTCTTCACACATCGTCTAGTGGTTTGGACTTACCAATGAAAGTTGTTGATATGTTCGGATGTGAACTTCCAGTGTGTTCGTATAATTTTGAATGGTAAGCGAAGTAAAACCACATCAAGTATGATATCGAAATATGATGTTTAACTCACCAATTTCATTCAAATTTTTGTAAACTGTAGAAGAAGCGCTTCCCATCCGATTTCGATATTTCTTTTAATATGTTGTAAAATTCGACATTTCGGGTAACTTTTTTCCTCTAATCTATAATGTTAGACTTGCTGAATTTTCGAAACATTCGCAAACAAATATCGGGCGAATTTGTAGTAAAAGCATTCGCTCAGTGATTTTGACGATTTTTGAATTTTGTAAAATTATACATTTTAAGGGGATAGACACGGGTAGTGCAGTAAGGTTACCAACAAATTGGGATATTATCCGCAAAATAAGGCTTAAAAAGGGATTTGGGAAATGACGTTTTTCGTCCTTATATGAGAAGATTTGAGGCTGGGCGAGGGCTGATTCGAAAGAGGAAGGTTCAGTGCAGCGCGCTCTGGTTATGATTCAACGAGATTATGTTAATATTTAGTAATGTAAGGGTCCAAAGTAGAGCAAAAATATGATAAAATACACTCGCAGAATCCAAGTATTTTTAGATCACTAAAAGAGTTTTGTGACTTATACGATGATCAGAGCGCGCTGCATTGAACCTTCCTCTTTCGAATGAACCCTTATTCAGCTCAAAATCTTCTCATAAAAGGACGAAAAACGTAATTTCGTGACTACATTCCCACATACGAATTCCGCCATTTTGTGGATAATACAGAGCAAATTATGTGACAATTTTAGTTCCGCTAGTAGTTATAAGGTGGCGTCTAACTAAGAATGCTGCCGATTTGGAATTGTAGCCAAAATCAAGCGTTAACTTGGTCATGTCATTCGAACTGTACCTGCGAGGACAAGCAATAAAGGCAAAACCGCCGCAAGTATTCTGACGAATACATTTGAATGCTGAGTGAGATGCACTGCGTTCGTGCTGTCCTCTCGTTCTGAATGTTGATTGTCCCTTTTCGGTAAATTTTGACTGATGCAAACCTCGCTCAAAGAGGAGGTATATGTAACAAGAGAAGATTATATCTCCTCTTTGCAATAATTCTGTAATTATTTACATAAGTTGTATGTGAAATATTTATTTATTTAAATTATTTGCAATCACTTAGAGTATTGACTAATACTTCCCTGTATTTTTTATTAGTTTCAAAAAACAAAATTACTATAGCTTTCTGAAAATACAGGGTGCATCACGCAATTGGGACGGGTTATATCTTGAATTTGGTAAGAGATAGGAAAAAGCTATTGATGTAAAAGTTGAATGTTATAATAATGTCTATTTTTCTACGACTTGTAAAATCTAGTGGGTAATTTTTTCTCACATGGCGCGTTTATGGTCGTTGGACATTAACGCAGATATGGCCCCAGCATTAGAGAACAAACGTTGCTTAAAATGTTAAATTTTACGGCATGTTAAAAACGCCATTTCGACAAGTTCACCTTTTATTTATATGTATATGATTTTTGTTTTTCAGCTTATCAGAACTTGTTAATCATGAACAGAATGGAATGATTTTTTCAAGTTATAAAGAATTAACACAACAATTAAGAACATGGTTTGAAAATTTCCCTCATAATGATGCTCAACAGAAATTGGATAAAAAATTTCGGAAAGAACTGCATAAATTTAAACAAGATCAATGGCATGATAATTGGATTTCTATTGTGTTACCTTATTTTAAATGAGAATATGGGGCACATTGTGTATGTATGGAAGTCGTGGATGAGCAACAATAACCGCTTAGGTGAACTGAGTTTTACACATTCCAGTAAGCAATAAGTTTTGTCAATGAATCAGTTTTTTGTTTATTATGTCTTTTGACACCAAATTATGTTATTGTGTGACATTTTTCATCCATCATGTTAGTCGAATAGTCGCTCTAAAAGAACTAAATTTGCGAATACATCATAGAAAGACTTAAAATAAAAAATGTGGTTATTATTTAGATTACGGACGGCACCTCCAATTTCGATGATTTTTATTAAATATGTTGTAGAAATCAACATTTTGAACTTTTTCCTATACATACATGGTGTCCCAGAACTGGGGTAGAGCCGAAGAGGAATGATTGCAAAGGTCATGGTAAACAACTTTTTCCTTTGCCAAAATGTTGTTTAAGGCTTCGTTTTCGAGTTATTAACGAAAAACACTGGCCAATCAGAGCGCGCCTTTAGCGCGGGCCGAACCACGAGAGTGTTGGGTATGCTCTGCGTTCAAGCCGTGGTCGTGATCAAGTGCATCGGCACCACGTCGGTATAATAGGGCAAAAGTTGTATCGAATAGTGTATAAAAAAAAGAAAAGAATAATAGTATCGAATTATTGATTGCTCATGAACAACGAATAAAGTAATGAATCGTTGTTCATGTAGAATGAATAAATCGAATTGATCCAACACTTTTATTTGTTGTACGATAGGAGTTTAGAAAAATACTTGGTAGTCACTTTTGAAAAAAAAATGAGAAAAACGAATAAACGTTTTGGATATCAAAATAAATTTGCAAATAGTAAAAAAAGAGATTAGGTTCCGTATTTATTTTAAACGACTAAAACTATTCTACCAGTTCAGTTTTCTTATTGTGCTATGCCAACAGATTGCGAGCCGTTCGTTCGACACAGCAGTCGCTGAGCACGCGCGCTGTACGCACTCGGATTGGTCGGTGTTTTTTGTTAATAACTCGAAAACGAACCAACATTTTGGCAAAGGAAAAAGTTGTTTATAATCACCTTAGCAATCATCCCTCTTCGGCTGTCGAGGTAGTCGCGTGACACCCTGTATATCCGCGATGATCGCAAAAATTTATAAAATTTGTTGTTTATTAACCATTTAAATTCGGTCTTTTTTTTTCGATTTATGGTTATTACCTAAGAGATAGAAGCCCAAAATCACCTTACACTATCCTACAAATACTACTGGTTCCACTAAAAAGGGTGAAATAAAATAATTTTTAACAAAACACAAATCCGACTTCGAAATAAACATTTTTATTCACTATCACGTTACTATTGCATTGAACACAAATGAAAAACATGTAATATTCCGCACTACAGTAAAGCCTGGATAAATGCAACCGAGATTGGGACCCAGTGGTTGCATTTATCCAAGCGAGGTGTCGAATCTCGGGTTACACACGACGCCAGTCAAGCGTGAAGGTAGAAAGAGACAGACAGTGAGGAAAAAGAGAGAGGCACAATGATCAAAGGAAAGAGCCGAAACGTATCGGTGTGACTAATACTAATTCAAGTATAAAACATTTTTGTTTTTGACTTTTTTTTACTGAAACTTTTACTAGCTTATTGGTGAAATATGATTAAAATGATACAAACACGATAGTTTGAATTATAATTGCTTGCTAAAATTGATGTTAAAAGTTGGCGAAAAGCAAGAGAGTTCGAAATCAAAACCAGCCGCGGTATCGGCTCTGGTTTCAAAGGTTTCATTTATCCAGGTGAGGTGCCGATTCTGGGCATTTAAATGTTGCATTTATCCAAGCGAGGTGTCGATTCTGAGTCCGTACACATCTTTTGTATTCAGCCGACATGCCGATTCTGCGTCCGTACACATCATTTATATTCAGTCGTGGTGTCAATTCTATGTTGTTTATTCTATTACTATTGTTTATAAATATAATTCAAACTATATCGTGTTTGATGTCATTTTAATCAGAAAAATCTCACAAATGCGTTAGTAAAAGTTTCATTAAGAAAAAGTTAAAAATAAAAAAGTTTTATCGTTCAATTAGTATTAGTCACACCGATATAACGGTTCGGATCATATTACTATAGCAATGCTATACGCAAAAACGCAGAGCTCTCAAATCGAGCAGCATCGACGAGTCGTTAGTCATCGAAAAACGATTGAGACCCGTGGTAGAACCGCTGGAACGAATTATCGAGAATATGTCAGCGGAATCGCCACATTCAGACACGATCGATATAAAATCCGAGTCGACATTCCCAATTTTTAATATTAAAGAACCGCAAAAATTGACGTCAACTCCGTTTCTTAACCCTCAAAGCGCACAAACTGCAAGAGCACGCATTTATTCCGACCCTGGTACATCTTCGAGCGAACAGACGGTGGATGTGACGAAAGATCGTCCCGATTTTCATCGTGAAGAATCGATACATGCCGTTGAAACGTACGGCGACAGCGACGAGAATCTTAATGTTTCTATGCAGCGAATTTCGGACAAGCCTAGTGTAACGTCCCGGAATTATTATCGCGAGTACGCTACTGCACCGACTGCGTAGGGAGAGCGGTTCCCTATGAGAAGGCGACTCGTAAATAACAAAATAATGAAGGGATCATAGGTTCGGGTGGTGCGCGGTAAAGGAGTGAAATCCAACGTTAATTCTTTTCTCAAAAATCGTAATGAGTTTATTCAAGAAAGTTGTGTTGTGTTTGGTTATAATATGTATATATATAAGAAAAGGTAAGTAATTATCTGAGTTATATGAAAATGTAAGTAATGAAAATAATATAAAGAATTAATGTAATCAGTGTACAAATGTTGCGCCCTGTTCTTGAAATACAAAAGGAAAATAATTATATTAGTTAAGTACAGTGAGTGCGCCCTGTATAAAAAATTACAAAGAAAAATAACAAAATAGTTTGACCTAAAATAAAATACAAAGAAAAAATTTAATTGATTAGTGAACGCGTCTCTAGATACGATTATAAAAATTCTAAATCTATAACTTGAGTTTATAACAAAAAAATAAAATTATTCAAATAAATTGTTCGATTGTCGGGGAGTTGGCGTGGATCCGTTCCGACACTGTAGGAGCTAGCCCGTTCGGCCGCAGTATGATTTCTGAGCAACTTAGCCGTCACTGATAGGCCGCATCCAAGGAGCTTCTGCTTTCGCTCGCTCGTTAAGCTTGGTTGCGAACACTGCAGGATGGTATCGTCGCTCAAGAGCCAGTGTACTAATAGGCCGCATCCAAGGAGCTTCGGCTTTCGCTCGCTCGTTAAGCTTGGTAGCGAACCTGACACATATGAGAACCGCTGCGAACCGGTGGTCGAGCGCTCCGGGTCTGACGCGGAACCTTTGCCGCCTCGCCGACAAAAGAATCTAAGCTACTGGAAACCTATGTAGTAATCGTATCATAGATCCGTGTCGGACTACGATCAGAATCGAAGTGAAATAGCTCCTCGCGGCACGCTCGTATTTATACCCGAGATTTGCTTGCGTAGCAGTTTTTTCTACACGCGTTTTCGATACCGGAAGTGTTTGGACTTTGACCGGAGTGTACGTGACTCCGCGCGTATCGCTGTCTCTGTCTATGCGTAGTGCTATCTTTCTTTACTCTGCGCTCTATTCCTATCTCTTTCTACGTGTTATTCCTCTATCTATGTGTCCTACGTCGATCTTTTATCGACGCGGTAATTATCGATGTATATTTTTGAGTATAAATTTTGTTAAGTATAAATATAATTAAATACAACATTCTTTTCCTATTTGTTAAATATGAATATAATTGTCAATCTGAATCGTGTTAATACAATAATAATAAAAAAACGAAGTGTTATAACTTTGATTGTATAAAAACTAAAAAAAAATAAATATATATATTTTAATAATTAATAATGATGGCTTTTTATTTATTCTTCTTCCTGCGGGATGTTACACTAGCGAAAACATACGTAGCCATTTCACGGAAAATTTGGGGCTGTTGGCAGCTAAATACATTCAATTACTCTGTACCGATCGTGAGAAGAAGATTTTTCCGTGTATGGTAGACATGGTGGTACACATCAATATCTCCCCAAATAGGGCCCTCATCTATCGTGGAGATCGATCGTTGTAAAAACGTTGGAATAACAATTATGATAAAAAATGGAGTATCGTTGACAACGACAAGATCCACTACAAAAAACGAGCCAGAAATGACAACCAACCCAAACGTCGCCAGTTCACGCCAGAAGACATCGAAATGCAGAACCGACCGACCGCCACCCCAACAACGTGGCCCTCAGATCTACAGATAGCAGAGCTACCAGAAGCACAACAAAACGGAACAACGAACCCCGGCTTCAAAAACCAAAACAATCCTGTACTACTAAAACTAAAGAACGGGATCAGAAGGCTTAAGAAAAAAAATAAAAATAAAAACACGCACCACATAGAAGAAGAAAATATATATGATTTATTTTTATACAAGTTTTGTTCCATAAAAAGAAAACAATTTAACTCTCCTCTCGAAATAGAGGCGCAAGGTCCAAGATATTATCCTCGTCCCACTCCCATACTTCCCGGAGGGTACGCCGAAAATAGGCCCGGTACCACTGGACGGCCTTCCGGTATGCGACATTAACGTGCCCCGGGTAAACCGCGTGAGTACCATCTTCACGCTGAAAAAGGGCATCACAAGAAAACGGAATAATAAATCAAAAACAAAAAAAGAAAAAAGAATGATGTCAGGACTACTCACCCAAGATCGGGATACGTCTTCCTTGAATAGTGATAGATCCATATTATTAAACGACAAAGTTTCTTTTAAAGTAATCGCAACACCTAACCGACCAGTTTATATACCACCAAGCCCCCACCAGGTTTGCCAGGAGCATAGCGACGATTAGTCCTACATCGACAATTTTTCAACGTGGACAACCGTCTTACCGACGCTGGTCTCAGATTATAACAATAGAAGGCATCGTACGATTAGAATGCGTCCCGTCGACGTAACACCGGAACACGCGGACAAACTCTTATCGTCCGTATATTCTAACATAAAGATTGCAGCTCCGGCCAAGTACTAGGTCGGTGATCACGTGCGAGTTAGTTGAGAAAACATCTCCCTCCAAACTCTAAGACCTGAGATGAGTAAGAACTCCGGTCTCTCTCTCATAAAATTGCAAGGTTTGCATGAGCTCGAAACCCTACAGGCTTATAAAGATACTTGGAAATTAATAATATTTTACTCGTGGAGCAAAGAATAAATTATGTTTTTACGAATAATTATTTATTTTATAATGCCCCTAAGGCAATGTTCTTGTGGATTGTGGAATTATGAATCGTTTATCATCGTAAGCACTAAGCACCTTCTTTTCTTCACATATAGAATATACATTGTGCAATTTTGAACGAATACATCTCTGTTCACGATGCACTTCTAAACGATCATACAAGCAACGTATATAATCATCGAAGGAAATAGTTTTCCTAATTATGTTACTTTTGACACTCTTCACTTTTTTCGTGTCCCGTTTGCCCTCTACGCGCAAAGCATACATTTTCGACCGAAGTCCGACAAACTCAGTCATTATACACCCATTATTTTCATCCTTCATTAATCCCTGGTACTTTTTTATTTACTCGCGGCATACTGTAAACATTGTCCTCGGTATAGTCACTCGTGTCAAATCGATGTATATCGCGTTTCATTACATCGTATATGTCATCACATTCCAGTTCGTATATAAGACTGTCTGTGTCTGTGTATAATATTTTACAAAGATGTTTAAATTTCGGCCAAACATAATCATGATGGAATTCGTACAAACATGTTTTTGATATATCCAGAATACACATGCCAACATAAATAGGTTTTGTAAATTTAATTTCCAACTTTCGCATCTCTATTGCGACCAAATGTTCCGAAAATATTGATCTGCTATGAAAATTTGGTTTTGATATCAGGGCCTCGGCCCCGTATCTACCTTCCCATTTTGTAACTAATTTAACGTCTACATGATTTCTAACGTTCTCCATAGTTTTCCCAAAGACTGCATTATTCATTAATTTAAATAAATTCTTTTCAAAATCATTTTTAGCTACAGTTCTAAGTTGCGTGTTTAAATTAATGTATTCGCGAAGCCATGGAGATTGTTTAAATTCTAAAACGCGATGAATTACAGAAACTTTTAAGCCATGATTTAGGCATTGTTGAAGATTGCGGTAATGGATGATGTAACGTTGCTTATCCTGAACTGTAGTGAGTAGTTTCTCAT